CCTTTCCACTCATAGACATGCACGCCGATGTCCTAATAAATTAATCATTCGATCTATTCGCCCATTCAGTTCTTCTGCTCTTCATCACTGGAATGACAATAAATGAACGACCGTCGCATGAAAGACAATATAAAAACGGAAATTGGCCAGAGTACTCGGAATACCTAAACCGTACCAGTTGCCTGATTCCATTTCCACCGTCGCTATATGTCCTACTACCACAATCCATCAAGAGCACACTTTTTTTGGAATTTCCAATTTATCGGTATACTCCAGAAAGTGATGGAGGTAATGAAGGATTAAGTAATGTTAGGGATTTGAGCGTGAGTGATAATTTGAATAATCCGGAAAGAGATGGAGGTAATGAAGTATCAAGTAATGTTGGGAATTTGAGAGTGAGTGAAAATTTGAATGCTCCGGAAAGAGATGGAGGTAATGAAGGATCAAGTAATGTTAGGGATTTGAGAGTGAGTGAGGATTCTTATCAATCTGAAGGTGGTTCGTGGTGAAGAAAGTGAATTTGGTGAAAGTTTTAGAGGAATTGATGATGGTGAAGAAAATTAAGTTCATTCAAGGTTTTGTGGCAATCGAGAGAGGGAGACTCATTTGTCAACTTTTTTGTGAACAAGAAATCATTCATTTTATTCTCTTATTTTATAACTTCCTCTATATCAACGGAAAAACTCGTAGACCTCAAGGCCGAATAACCGATGTCTCCGACCTGGAATGATCTCTGAGGAGTACGGAGGTTATCGTGTTTTTTTTTATATTCACATATCATCATTTTAAATGTTCATGAGATGCATGACATGACATACTGTACATGTGAGACCTTTAGGAAAATTTAGTCGCATATTACGAAGGGATCCCTACCAAATGAAATATAAGTACTTTTGTTACATCACAATCTCTCTTCTCTGCTTTGCGTTGTTCTTATTTTATTGCCTGAAATATTTTTCAAAATTGTAATGATTCACGACACATGGTGCCTATTTGATCATATTTAATGAAGTTTTTAATTCTCATCAAAAATATTTATAACTAATGAATAACGAATAAGACAATCAATTAAAATTAGAAATCGAAGGATCACAAGGTAGGTAGGTACAGTATGTCACAGAGGATGAACGTCAGCTCCAGAGAACTCACTCATGTCGATACACCTCGAGGAAATGAAATGATTGGTTTTCTTGCGCGTGGCTTCCATTCACGTTTGAAGGTGTCAAATAGTTTTCCGACATATGAGAAGAAATGACGATTCATTTGAAAACTTACAAGTAATCACGAAGGAAGAAGGATTCAATGGGTCACATTATATTTAGATTGCAAGATTGTCTATAGCAAAGTGATTATTTTAGTATTTTTTTTTATTGTAGAGAGATTAATATTACTATTCTTTGCAATATATAAAGCAAAATAATTTTTTTTAATATTTGCATAGTAAGTAATCATTTGATTTATCATATTCTGTTCAAATTTAAGTGGCCACTGAAGTACTGTATATAATAATCTGAATTAAATTAATTTTATACAGCAGCTAGATATTTGTGCTTTCATGGTAGAATGATTTTTATTTGATCCAGTTAAATCTTTCATCGATGTACAGGAAATTTACAATTATCTTTATTCATTTAACCTGAAAATTATTTTTGATTTTGCATCAAAAAAAAAAATTTTTTTCATAAATGTTTTTCCAATAAAATTTTTTGAAACAAGTTATAGATACAATTTTTAATATTTCTTTGGTAACAAAGTTTATTATATAATATCTTTATTCTAAAACTTTAATCGTTTTCGCTTATTTTGAAAACATGAATAAAATACTCCTAAAAGTGTGGATGTTGTGCAGCCACTTATAACATTCTGCAGACTATCAAATTATTAAAACACATCTTACAAAATACTATGTTTTATTTTTTGGAAATAAATTTTTGTATTTTTACGAATAAATACAGTATAAAAATATTTACTGATAAAGTCAAAGAAATTTTTATAGGAAAAAATATACAGTATTAAAAAGATATTTTTCTTTTTTTTTTTAAAAGAAATTATAATTTGATATTGAATTTTTATTATAAATTTTTTTTGAATATAATTAGCTATTAACATATAACAAAAAATAGAAATAAATTTTATTTCTACATGTTTCTTCTTATATGATAATAAATCCGACAGTATTCTTTTCAACAAAAGACTAAAATATTATCCCCAAAGAATTCTTAAATGAGGTAAATTAACTACATACAAGTGCTTGCTTAATGGAATATTTAAAAATGATCGTTAATTATTAATTAAATATTTTATCTAAAGAAAATTTAACTTAGATAACAGGCTTACTGTAGGTCTCTGTAAACCGGTCGAACAATATCCTGAAAAGAAAAAAGTCTATGGTATACTTCCATACGTGGCACCTGAAGTTTTATGCGGGTAAGAATATACAGAGTTATCAACATTTATGCATTTGGTATTATTGTATGAAATTATACCCTGCATTTTCCTTTGAAAATGTACCCCATGATAGCGATCTCGCAATTAGGATTTGCAATGGCCTCTGGCCTGGAATCAAAAGAAATATTCCTGGTTTGTAACTGACCTGATAAACAAGTGCTAGAATACCACACCACAGATTCGATTAAGCTCACAAGAATTATTTAGAATTTTATTTGTATGGCGTCGTTATAAGTATCGGCCGAATTCCAAAGTCGCGAGGTAAATTAAGGAAAATGAAACATATCATGTTATTTGTCTATTAATTTAACGTGAGAATCACTCAATATTCTTATCTACTCTTGTATAAACCAACTAGTATTTAGTCCCCAAAATGCACTCTTTTTGTTTTAGAATTTTTGTATTATTGATCTACTGTAGTATATTTGCTTACTCTACCAACTTAACCATCTTTTATGATTCTAGAATTTTCTCTAATTTTATTTATTTATTTCTCTAAGCTATCTTTGCCAGAGTATCCATCTCTATCAATGTAAGTATATTTAACTATTCTGATAAAGATATCATCTTTTTCATAACTATTATCTTTATTAAAGTTTTTTATTATCATGTATACATATTTTTTTTGATAAACTGCTTTCCTTTTTTATTGAGTATCAAAAAAAATACAGCTCTCATATTAAAAAAGCTAAATGCTAGTTATCTATATTAAATTATTTACATGATATGTAAAAATTTTTTAAAACCACATACATATGAAGATAGTGGCATGTTAACCATGCAATTTTAAAGAACAATAGAAGAAATGAAAAATTAAAGGAAATATCAATATTATAGAATCAATTTTTTATATTAATACCTTTTAGATCATACAGCTATGGGCAAGAAAGAGATTTAGAATTGATATATACTTTCTAATAAATGCTCTGAAATAGTTCTTTAGTTGGCACAACTATCAAACCTAAGAATTTAAAAAACCAAATGAAATATGACTCCTAAATCTTTTATAAACATTTTAAAGAGTTTTGATTGTTATTAACTATCAAATATAGGGGCCATATGGCCAAATAGGGCACAATTCCTATATATTCAATATTCACTAAACAGTCTTTTATATCTTCTATATATTTATATTCATATTAATAATCTTTTTCAAATTGGTTATGTAATATTGACACATGATAATTTATTATTATTGTTATTAACCACAACATAATAAATATTAGTCCATACACCTATACCAAATTTAATTGGAAGTACTCTATCAACAATATCCATCCCTCAAAAATTACAAACAATATAACAGATTTCAAGGATTATAACATTCACAAATTTCAAAGTAAACTTTGAAACTTGGAACTTCCTACATTAATCAAACTATATCAGAAAAACAAAAACATATATCCAAATGAAATATGTATATTTTGCAAACAGAAAAAGGAATCGACAACACATCCATTTATTTGTAAATAACAAAAAAATGATATACAACAACAAATAATAAAAATCTTAAATGAGAAAATCAACTTATACAGCATCAAAAAAACAAAACATCAACTTTTTGTAGAACTTCAAACACATATCAATTTTTGAAACACTGAAATCCTTAATCTCAACATCAGAGAAGGAATCACACATACTACGGTTACAATTATATAAAAATATATTGACAACAAGGATATCCAACAATATATCACAAGCTACTATAACAAATTACGAGAATATCTACTAACAGTATGGATTACAAGATGTGACAAATTTTCCCAATGGGAAAAAATACAAAAAATAATAAAAAAACAAAAAAGATCCTGAATACTAATCAAGAAATCCAAAGCAGAAATATCAACAGATCAAGAGATAAAGGATAGATATCCACATATAATTAACAAACACATGATTAATTATATTAAATACTTATCTAATATAGAAGAAATTTTCACAACTAGTCTTTATTCTAAAGGTATTGATAGTACCTTGACAGGTTAGTCATTTTAAGAAGATTCAATGTTTTGTCTTACAAGACAGGCAACAAGTCATATAATAGAGCAATTTTAATGAGTTCACTTTATAGTTTAAGAAAGTCACTGACTTTTTATAATTTTTTGCATGTATACACAATTGTATCTCAAATAATTATTTTAATAAAGTTAAACAAGGCAAACGTCTATCTATTTAAAAAAAAATTATTATTATTATTATTGTTATTGTTTATATTGTGATTGTAATTGTTAATAATATTTTTTTTGATAAGTAAATATTATTTTTTATTTGATATTATATAATATAGTATATATTATAAAAGAAACAATATCTCTTAGATACAATAATATACAATAAGTTAAATATTAGCTTGTCTACACAATCTATATCTAATTAATATTGAAAATAAATCTTAAAACAATATTAATATATTAGATATAGCTAAATAGTAGCTATGCCTATTTGCTTAGGGTTATTTGAGAAAATATAAAAAAAAATGAAAAATAAAATGAAAAATATATACTATTAAAACTATACTTAAGTCAACAAATTATACAATCTATAAAAAATAAAAGTTATAACTTCAAGAAAACCTTTATACTAGCTTATTATCCTGTAACTCTGGTTCCTTACTACTTGTTGATATAACATTTATTAATTCAAATATTGGAATATGAATAATATTGTTTGTTATTTGATAATAGTGATTGTTGTAATTGTTATTGTATTGTGAAACTGGTTTGGATTGATTTGAACTTTGTTTTGATAAAATAACAAAATTTGGATAAATATACAGTAAATCCTATTAAATTAAAGTGGTCAAAACTATTAATAAAATTTTTTGGGGAAATTCAGTTAAAGGATTTACCTAATAAATTCAATTTAATAAGGTAATTTACAATATAACAGTTTTTGAGCAAACTTCAGTTTAATAAAATTTTTATTAGTACCTCAGTTTAATGGATTTTGAATTAACAGGATTGACTATATAGTATTATTGTTATTGTATTAATATAATTGGCAGTTGGTATAGTAATAGGTTTATTTGTAAGTATTTGAATTGTTGTGAAAGTAGTTGTTGTTATGATTGTAGTGGTTGTTGTGATGGTATTGTTAATATTAATTACTAGAAAATATATTGGATATATAATTTTATTTTAATTATTGATATTGGAAAAGATTTTGTTTTTATTAATTATGAAATAGTATATTAAATATATAGATTTGTTTTGATGTTTGCTAATATTTGATTAATTGAGTTTGAATTAACAATCAATTGACAGGAATAAACTGGTCATGGTT